ATAGACATAGACATAGACATAGACATAGACATAGACATAGACATAGACATAGACATAGACATAGACATAGACATAGACATAGACATAGACATAGACATAGACATAGACATAGACATAGACATAGACATAGACATAGACATAGACATAGACATAGACATAGACATAGACATAGACATAGACATAGACATAGACATAGACATAGACATAGACATAGACATAGACATAGACATAGACATAGACATAGACATAGACATAGACATCAGTGTTCTTTAACTCTATGAAATTACTTTTTTTTTGTTTTCAGATTAATTCCCCGAATTGCCTGTCAAAACATATTTGGCAATTTGAACACATCCTTTTTTTAGCACTAAATCCTTGCGTAAAACGATATTTATTATATTTATGGTCAGCAACGCAGTCGCACATTGCAATCACACAATTTTACAAGACAGCAATCAAAGTAGGGTAAGCCGGGGTAATTCCACACACGGGGTAATTCCACACACTATATACTGGATACTCTCTATTTTTAATGGGAGTAAAGTTTAATTAAAAGTTACTATTCCCTGTTTCTAAGAGGTCATTGCTTGTACTTTTTGATACTGTTAGAGAAGCGTTCACCTACAATAAGAGCAAGAATTTTAATTTTATCTCCATCTATCTTCAAACATCTTTAGGTAAGTACAATCCCTGCACTTTTTTAAAAAAAAATTTTTGTCTTATTTTTAATTGTTGTCAATTATTTATTGATTTTATGAAAGCTTAATCAATTTTGTTAATAGTAACAGTTAATGATGCTAGATTCAGCCTTTAATTTAGAACAGGAACAGTTATACCCTCAATATTATATTGTGGTAGTGTTAATTTTAGATTTTGTTTACAAATTTTTTAGAAAAGTAGTGTATGGAATTACCCCGGGTTACCCTACTCAGTTAAGGATATTTGTGTTGTCAAACACTGTTATTTTTAAACGAAATGTTTGGTTTAGATAGCTTATTCCAGTTCATGAAACAAACTGTTTTATTTCATTATATTGCATTAACAAAATGCTTTGCAATCTCTAAATCTAGAGATCAATTTTTAAAAAAACATTATTGCCAACTTTAGATCGGAAGAATCGGAAGGAAATGGTGTAGGCCCTATGTTCTATAAGGAGCAAAGAGGATTTAGATTTAAGATATCTTTGTATTAAGAAATGTTTTAGATAGTAGGTTATAAAATGTTTAGCCGACTTGGAACTAATGTAAACAGTTAGATCGTTTCGTTTTGTGTATTTTTTAAAATGTAATTTCACAGACAAATAAGTCAGCCTAAAAATATTGTAGCTCAATCCTCGACGATAAGTAAATCATGCTTTTAGGATTAATGGTCACATCCGGGAATAGTCTCGAAATTATTCAAAAGACATTAAATATTTTAAAAATTATGTTGGACGTTACTGAAATATCGATGGTGTAGCCACCATGATTCAACATAATGCCTGAAAATATAAAAAAATCTGGAGAAATGAAAAACGAATCACGCCTTTTCTGTCAGTAGGCAAGTCATACGCTGCAATCACACAGTTTTGAACGACAAGCAGTCAAAACATTTTTTAAAGGATATACCATTTTATTAAATCATTTTAAAGAATAATAAGCAAAGTATTTGTTTAATATGACCTATTTTCAGTAAACTATCGAGAACCAAACTGCTTTGTTTACATTTTTACTAGGTTATCACAATGCTATCTCAATTCTAGAATTTTGTCTAGATCTAGAGACCAATTTAGAGTTTATTATTCCACAAAATTGTACAATAAATTTAAAACGGAAAACACAGCGATAAAAATGAAAACAATGTTTATTTCCAAATACACTTGCAGACAATGCAAACTAACATACAATTTGACTAATTAATTTTTTTATTAATTAAATTTTGCTGAAATTAGTAGGGAAACCTATCACGGAATATTATTTGCTTTATCGTGTTCATTTGGTGTGCAATAGTTTTTAATAATACACCTACAGTGTTTTAAAAAAAAAACATTTATGGGACAGCGGAAAAATAAAATAATTATTTTTACATTCGGAAAAATTATGCTGTATCTTTATAAAAACACAGATTAAACCTAATAGTAATACGTCTTGTGCCAGCGATCTCCTTGGAAACATTGAACAGTATTCTTTATTTAATTTGTAAAATCTTGTATGTAATTTAGCAACGGTCTACTTACACGTTTTTAGACTTGGCCACCTGAATCCCCATGTAATCGTATGTGCCACTTAAATTACCGCTTGTGATATAATAGTTCCTATTCGCTGTTAAAATATAATCAGCCTGGCAACCAGTTTGACATCCCAAACATCCAAGATCCTCAAATACTCTGTTAAAGGTTTCTTGTAGACAATTTTCAGCAGGATTGGGACAATCAACTTTATAAAATAAAAATTAATTGATCTTTTAAAATAATGTTTTTGTATTTATTTGCCCAAAAATAGTTTCAACATACTGACTGCTTAAAAAAAAAAAACTTTTTGTTCTTTCGTAAAATTTTTAATTTAACATGGTGTCTACTAAGTATGATCAGCAGAAAAACGGACCATTAAATACAAAGTTAATATACCGAATACGAACGAAAGGAAGGAAGGGCGGAATGAAACTTCCTAGCTCCTTATATTATTGTTTTTATTACAAATCGATTGGTATTTTACAATAGGCTACATGGTTTGAAGTAATACCTGTGATTCCATCCAGTAAGAAGGAAGAAGCGTAGCCTATACATACGGAAATCAAAAAACAAAAAAACATTGTGGGTCAAAGCTTACTCTAGAAAGCATTTAAAGCTAAGAGTGTATACAAGAGATTCTTATCTTGAACACGAACAAGGACTACAGACTTAGTAGTAATGACAATATCGTGACTGTTCAAGATAAAGCTTTTTCTTAGCACAACGGTTTCCAAGCTGTTTAGACCGCTCCTAAATTAAAATCTATATATTGCTTGTTGGCTTAGATTAATAATATCTAAGCATATATTTTAACCTGAAATATCCCCCCCTCCCCCAAATCCTGTTATCCTTGAGAAATAAAGAAACATCTTTTTGGCAAATTAAGAAAATGGAGCATGTAACTACCTCTTAGCGCAATAAAAATGACTTCCTTGAAATACACGTTTACTTCGATTTGATTGAGTGTCTATTAACATTTATTTTTTTCTATGAATGTGCAATTTTCAAGGTAGACCGCCGCGCCAGTCCCCTGCATGCAAATGTGTACATGTTGGTAATGGTATATATTTACTATTCAAATCAGGTCTTAGTATGACACCAATATAGTTACTACAATTGTTTTTTACTCAATGTAGTGAGTTATTTAAGTGAGTTATTTAAATGTAAACAATGGCTGCGCTTCGATCATAAATATCGTGACACGGGTTTACCTACACTACCGCATGAAAACTTTGAGTGTACGTTAATCACTCACCGAAACAATGAGGTAGAACACACTTCGGTGACCGCCCATGTGTCAGGACGTAGACGGGCGCTCTAAAGAGCCCCTCTCTCCTCCCCCGATTACACTATCGCATAGTCGCCGCGTCTTTCTCTAAAGGGACACAAATGAACAGGATTTTTTTTTAACATGTAAAAAAATATATTTGATGTGATTTAAATATCAACACGACTGATGAAATATGTTATTAGATTAGACCGAACGTATTCACTATAGCGCTCACGTGAAAGACAGGGCGCAAAAACGCATCCTGCCGGGGGTGGGGGGCGACCATGCAAAATTAAATGCCCCCTCCCACCACCACCCACCCCTGAAACCTTCTCGGGAGTATTTATCAACTCCCCAGTTTTATGGCACCCCGTCAAATAAACTGTGTCGAACAGCAATCGTCTTTTATTTTTATATACCGTATGTTGAGGAAAAATCGCATCCTCCCGTAGTGCCGCCCTTTGAAATTAAAAAAAAATTATATAAAAAAAGTAAAAAATAAAAAATCGTATAATGAGAAAAATCGAAACCTCCCAGGGTGCCACTCTTAAGAAATTTTTTTTCTCGAAACCCTTTTCACCAACCCAAAATTTTATGCCAAAGACCGACCGAAGGAGGGCGCCAAAAGGTGTAGAATTTTTTTTTTTTAAATCCTCATGCTTCAGTCAAATTTAAGCAAATAGATTTATACATGACTGGTTTCCTGAATTGTTGTATGTATGAGAGTTATGTATGGGTGGGCGCCTTTTTTGCCGGTGTTTGAATAGGGTCGGCACAACATTGATAGTTCGCCCCGTTCGCCGGAATAGGTTGCTACGCCTCTGCTTCCTGCTACGGCGCCGCCCTTGCGAAATAAAAAAAAAATAACAGCAGGAATCTCCACAGGAGTATACTCAAAATCTTTACCGTGTTTTTCCCGACTTTTTTCCGGGGGGGGGGGGGGGGGGGGGCACTCGAAATTTTCTGGGGGGGGGGGGGGGTGCGTGCGGACAATGTTAAAAGTATTTTTTTTTTATTTCAATATAAATTCCTGGAAAAAAACTGTTCACAAAGTTTAATGGCGATCCGATGAAAGATGTAGTAGATAGGACAAATTGACAAACATACTTTCATTTCTATAAATATAAATAGATATATACTTTAACTAGTGTCCGCATACCCGCACACGGAAATTTAGTCACAATTTTCTTTGTTGGTTACATTTGAATCCTTTAGGTTAATGAATTTTACAAAATTGAACGATGCAACTAATACATTTAACCAAGAAAGTGAACAAGTAAAATGAACGTTATCTTTATATATTTTTAGATATAGAGTACTAACAGACTACCGACAGGTCCCAACTCGCGACGAGGTACATATTTTTATTAAAACACAGATCTTAGACATTTTTCATCTGAGCAGGTTTTGCGGTACAGCGTGAACTAGTGATCGCAGTTTTCTCTGTTGAGTAGCTATGTATTCTGTCCTATATTAGACACATTTGTAAATATCTGTCACAATATGGGCATAGAAATAATTTAACAATAGCTTATCTTTGTGGACCTCAAATTCAATTCTAGGTTTTGGGACACGTTAGTTGCTTGGGTTAAGCTAATGTCGATAGCATAAGGACTGTACCGCGGGCGTATTTTTTTTTGTTGCCCATCGTAATCATTAAACTACGCAACTGTTGGTTGATGGGGCTTCAGTTGTTTGATATGCCGTAATACTGATATCATGCCTGTGAGGATTTTGTAAGAAGAAAATGCGTTAAAAACACTTTCTAGTTGTTTTTTTTTTAAATAGGCCTATATTTTACGATAACATCATCGTAATTAGCAATAAAATGAATTTAAACAACTTTAGAATAAACCTGTTTCGGCGAACATGAATGTTATTTTTCAAACTAGTAATGTTAAATGTCTTTTTCACATTTTCGGCTTATAAGCAATAGAGTAAATTCCGATATTGTCCATATGCATACAAGCAGTGGCGAAGGCAAGGAGGGGTTTAATAGCCCTTTAAAATGCTGGAGTATCTTAATACGAATGATACTTTCTTAACCCTCTACTGTAGGCCTACTTACCTAAGGATGTTTGAAGCTAGATGCAGATAAAATTAAAATTCTTGCTCTGATTGTAGATGAACGCTTCTCTAACAGTATCAGAAAGTACAAGAAATGACCTCTTAGAAACAGGGAATAGTAACTTTTAATTAAACTTTACTCCCATTAAAAATAGAGAGTATCTAGTATATAGTGTGTGGAATTACCCCGGCTTACCCTACATCATGTTTGGTACCTTGTCCCCGGTAACTGGGTGGATTTGGATTACACCAATTGTTTACTTCATAGTACATGGCTTCAGTTTTAATTATTGGAGTTGGTAGCAACATTGACACAGTTAAAGGTATTCAGAACAAGGTGGCCAGGAGAAATAGCATTAATTAGTATTTTATATATAAAAAAATGTAACATTACTAACAATAGGCCCTACTTAATTGTTTAATGTTGCTGGATATTAAGGTATTTATGTTTATTAATTTGTAAAGAAACAATAAAATGGATTCCCAAACAAAGTTTATTTTTCAGAAATAAAGAAAATGATACAAATCAATAAAGAATAGTTTTCAAAAGAATTTGTATAAAAGTAATTATTATAAAATAGGAATATAGTGTTGCAAAGATAAAAAAAAAAACTTAACACAAAAAATATGAGGAATATTTTTTATCAGAGAAGAGAAAAATATATGATGTGGTTTAAAAATAATAATTTACAGAATGTAGCTTTTGTAGATAAAAATGAAAATTCTTGTTTTATATATATTATGTATAGTCCAAGGAGACTGATTTAATATCCATTGTAATTGAACATCAGTTGTAGTTATGAAATCTGGAAGAACACACACTCATAGCCCTGAAAAGCACTTTACACATAGATTAGCAAGAATTATTAAATTAAAGCTAGAATTTATTTACTCGACTGATCAAAACTCACTTAATTTAAACATAATATAGTGGATAAGTATAGTGATTTTATTATTCAGCAATAAAAGCAGGCCTAAAAAAATTTAAATAGTGACGTTTCTGGATGAACACATTAAATTCTATTATGTCTTTCCCAACTTGATGCATATTACTAACCAAGCACTAAACTATAGTCCTAAATTGGACAACCTGAATCTTTGCGATACCATGTTATAATATATTATAATATATTATTTTAAAAATGAGCTTACCACTAACTACTAAAATCAATTGTTTTTAGTATTAACTGAGCAGTATACTATCTGCTGGTATTGTTCATCACCAGAAACCCAGTATGTTGGCAAGGTTTAGTTCCATATAACCTCTTTCCTCTCGAGTGCCGAAAACACTGAAATCATTAATCATTATTTTATTATACCTAATAGTTTAATGGTAGTATTAAAGTAATACTAAATAGTACGAGTCTTAGTTACTATAGGTCTAATGAATATTATTATTATTTTTATGTTTACATGCTTTAAGGGCAGGTTAAACCCCCAAATTGAAATTTAGGTGTTAGGACTTTTTGAGTTATAAGGAAGTTGTAAGTAGCATAGTATATGAAAAAATGCAAAAAAAAAATCACAAAAAAATTATGGTTTTGAGAAAATATTTTCTAAAAAATGTCATTTTTAGGGTAAAATAGCTCAAAATTAGCTCTCATTGAAATCACAATAACACACCTGTTGGTCAGAATAAAACAAATCTTTAACATAGTGTAATACAAAAAAAGATGAACTAAAACAATTAGAAAATAATAAAATTGGATTTTAGCCAAATTTTTAAAATTTGAGACCTAAAAAATTTCCAAAAAGTAGGGAGTAGCTTTTTATTTTATAAAATGAGAAGTTTCAAAGATATAGAAATTCTTTTAGTTCAACTTTACAAGCAGTGTTTAGTAAACATGTGAGAAAAATTTCAGCTAAATATCTCAAGTGGTTTTTTAGTTAGTTTTTAATTTTTATGTTGCTAAATGTTGCTTAATATAGATGAATTACGTCATTAATCTCATTAATAAAAAAAATATAAAAAATACTAGCAATTCGAAATTTTGCAAAATATACAAAAATGTTCAGAATTGAATGTATTTTCAAAAATCAACATTTCTGACTTAAATATGTATTTGGGGTGGGGGGGGGGGGTTTAACCTGCCCTTATTAAGTTTAATACACAATATTGGTATATAATATATAGTCTATAGCACGGGTTCCCAACCTGGGGGCCGCGAAGGGTTCTGGGGGGCCACCAACTGGTATACTAAACCTTAGCAATGGGAAACAAAACATTAATATTTAGATGAATCTGTAATTCGGCTTTACTAACATCACTAGAAATGGAATAAAGAAGGAACAATGCGTACTGTACAAAGTTGTTGTCAGTCACGAG